TCGGTGTGCCACCATGCAGTACCCTTGTACTGACAGTAGGGTGAAGACTCTTTTATTAGATTTCCAAACTCGGGCTGCATCCATGTCAACCTTGGAAGGATAGGGGGAAACTCTGGCCAATGATAACGAGGAAATAGCCGCTGTGGCTATCTGTGTGTCAATTGACTAGTTTCCTTGGAAGTAAATCAAGCCTCAGGCACCCGTGATCGAATATTCATTTTTGCTTTTTGCCAAACTGATGTTCTAATTTTACCCTACAGCGGAAGTGAGATTTAGCTCAATCCCGAAAGGCTATTTTTGGACCAGGTGAACTTCATATCACCTACGGGAGTATGTACTCAGTATATATCTAACTATAACATCTCAAGCTCAGGCAAAATAGCAAAGGACTTCCAATTTGACTAGATACAAATTTTGTCTCTCCAGGGCTTCTTGTTCCAGTTACTATATGCCACACCATATCATTGTTCTATTGCATATTGCCTTCTTAACCCATGATACCGGCAAAAGCTGATCATCTTTTGACTTTTGTAGCTTTTCAGGCCATTTGTTCGCCAATCATTTCAGATATGGTGAGATCAGCTTGAAAATCCACCGGTGAGGAGCGCTACACCCTTGCGTATCTTTCTCTCGCTGAAAGACTACCCATAGGTAAGCCCTCATCATGGTCAGGACAAGGGTCCACCCTTCCAAGAATAGAACTCCGTGAAGCTATGATAATTAATTTCTTCTAGGAAAGGAAAACCTTCGCGCTCATCAGCTAGCGCAACTCTGTTATAGGATTCAATAGGCTCAACAGCAAAGCCACGGAACGTCCGAAGCGCATGATGCCTGCACCTCTGGTCAAGCAATGTTTCTCTGTCGTTGGTCTAGGAAGACTTGTCACGCCTGTTCCCTTCTGTCTTCGCTTCGGGGAGTTGAAGTTGCTAAACTTAGCAATGAGGGGTTCTTGATTGCACATCTTCTGCCCTATACCACAGGACCTGCGTCTTGGACGACGATCTATCCCACCACTCTTATTGAACCGGCCAATTAGAGCATTGAGCTATGAATAGGTCGCATGTTCTCTTTCACTAGTGTCTTATCTTTTCAACTAACAGGTTATGTTGCCGCCGATTCCATCCTCTGTGGAACCGAATAATCAATCTACAGGTGCCTGATGTGTGAGCTACGTGACAGAGCTGCAATGTCACATTCATCCTGTCCAAGAATATCTATTTTTGAGTATTATCTACTTCTAATACACTCTTGGTGCGTATTTCTCCCAATTGAAAGCCGTTCCCTGTCTTCCTGTATCATACTGTATGATACCCATACCTTTGTTAACTCGGATGAAGACCTGATATGGAATAAAGAATCTAAATCAGGAGCATCACTGGCGACATCATGCACGCTTGTCTGTGCTAAGATTAGGACAGGTTGCAATTGGGTGGTAAAACCATAGATGGATAGGTAGTATGACGGCCCTCATCTACTCCCCGTCCATTCTCTGCTCACGCAACATACGTCCTGAATTTTTTTATACGATTCAATATTGCTATGTTGCTTATGAGAAACAGGCTAACAAGCTATCTCTTTGGTGATTCATATTCTACAAGTATGTACATTGGTTCGCTACTGAACCTTTTACAGTCAAAGACGTGACTATGATATTCTAATGTGCTACAAGGATCTTGAACCAAAGCCGATTGGTGATATAAATAGAATGCATTTTTCTATATGCATGAGTGCGGGGTCTATCACACTATGTGTCCTTACATGGGCCTTCTATTTTTGTCTATTTTTGTCTATTTTTGCTGATACCATTGAGGGGTTTTCAGAGATCCTTTATTGTCAAGGACATAAAAGGTTAGTGCCCCCAATGGACGATGGTTTTCAAAAAACGGTAGTTGTTACTCACTGTGAAGCTGATTTGCTTCTAAATTTAGAGGTGGGAGAAGAAAGCCTGTGATAAGAGTCCTGTAACATGCCCATGTAGCAAACCAGCGAATTACAACGGAGGAAAAGCCCCCTGTTCTAGATCGGTTAGATATTCCATGCAAAGCGGGCAGGCAAAGGGAAATGGAGGGCACATAGAGGGATTCCCAAAATCCCGTGATCGGCCCGCCTAAAGTCATTCGTCCCTCATTCAGGTGCGGATTTCCCTCCCACTCAAACCGTTACTACATCTCTTGTCTTCCATCCCCCTTGAGCCGTGCGTCACCCTAAGCAAGCCCCGAATCAACCGAGTCCCAGCCCTAGAAAGTACGGTGTTTCTCTCCAACCTTGCCCACAGGTATGGCTCAAGCGGCCCCCACTTTCACACCAGACAGCGACTTTGCTGAGCTCGAGACCCCTCATGGCCCAGAGGGTGGAAGCTTGTCAATAATTGCATTAGCCCGTTTTGAATTCGAGGCGGGTAAGGGAAATGATGGCACCAAAATCCTGATGATTGAGTGGGAAGATGACGATCTCACTCGGTCCTCGACCGATGGATCGTGGAATGTCTCTTGGGCCGGAAAGACTTCCATGCTCCCCGCAGATGAACGGCCTAGTGATAGCTTGCGTCGCTTTTACTTCTTGCTTCCGCCCAATACCACCATCCCGCCTGTCGTTACGCTTTACTATGAGCCGCGGTCCACCCCATCAAACACGACTGATTCCGCCGACCCTCCGCCCTCGAAGCCGCGGGATGCGCTCCGGCTCAATCCTTTACCCGCTATCTTCCCCGCTGAGCTGGGGGCTACTGGTCGTGCAGCGGGCAAGAAGGGTGTATTGCATACCATATGGGCAAAGAAACGGCTTCGGGTGCTTGAGGCGGAGATTGCTGCCGAAACCCGCAACAACATTGAAGGAATTGCTTTACACATGGCCATCCAAGAAAAGGACTGGATTGAGGAAAACTTTGGAGTCGGGTCGCGCGCTGTCGACTCGGTTGCCGGTAGCCATGACTCCTCAAATTCTTCCTCTATTTACCCGGCCACACCGGTGTCGCCTATCAGCGGCAGGAAGCTGAGTGATAAGCTCAAGGGACTGAAACTACAGACAAGCTCAAGGGACCTGGCCGTGAATGACAGTATGTATCATTGGTCCTCATTGTTACCATGTTTGATATCATTGAAGCTGACCAAAACCAGATTCTACTCCTAATACCGCCCATCTTCTTTCGCCCCAATCTCCTGATGTTGCTGTCTCCTCGTTCAGCTCATTCCGTAACGTCGCGCATAAGCACATCCACTCCATGCCAACGCCAGATACCAATCCCACCCCAACTCCAAGCTCTCACATCAACCCCTCCGGCCCCGAATCACTTAAGCCGGTTGCGCTCTTCCCACCCTCAGCTCTGCAGGAAGCCCAGCAGAACAGCGACCAGGGCGGGTTTGCATCCATGGGCGCCATCGCGCGCACTCCGAGCAATGATTCCGGTGAGGAATTGTTCGCTAAGGCTCTGAGCCCGCGCTCGCCCGATCTCCCTCGGAGCCCATTCTCGTTCCGTTAAACTTGAATTTCCCATGCATGATATGATACCTTACCATCTTTCACGACTTGCGCAATGATTCCCCTTCTGCGATGCCATACCATATGTCCACATTCCATGCATCTATGATCATTTATCTATCTTTTCTGTTCTGTTCATACTCCGGTGCATATCATGCCATATCCCTGCATTTTCATCTGCATTCTTATTCTTGTATGGACGCGCCATGCCATATCTATGGATCACATATGTACATAGACCAAAGTCGAATTCCATGAACCCCTCGACAATTAAGAAAAAAAGGCCTCTTCAATGATTTTCTTTGCGACAGCAAAACCCCGTCTGCGTAGGTGACTAGAAATAAGATAATAGCTACCAAGCAAAGCAAGTAATCAGGCGCACCACTCCGCCACCTAGTATCCACATCCCTAAGGCAAACACGAACGAAAGCAAGAGAAACAATCAACTAAAATCAATTGCTCTTCTTACGCTGACTTCCCTGCCGACCCGACTTTCCAGAAGTCGCAGTCGACGAACCAGAAGCAGTGGCAGAAGCCTCGGCAGCCTCCTTCTCATTCTTCTTGCTAATAGCAAACGATTCATCCTCCTGCTGATCCTTGCGCTCCGCATACCACTGTCCAGCCTGCAGAACCAGGATGCCGACAAGGACAAGCGCGAGGATAGTATTGCTAGCGGAAAGAACCTTGAGCGAGTCCTCGCGACCAAGGATCTGCTCGTGCTCATCATCGGTGGAAGCCAGGTCAACACCGTACTGGCCGGCAGAGGCGAGGCGCAGGCCCTTGACAATGTTGGCGATGTAGACTGTCACTCCGCACATGTAGAGGACCAGCGAGGCGCCGTCGAAGAGCATGTTTGATTCAGAGGGCTTGTAGAGCTTTGTGAGGAGACCGGCTAGACCGAGGAAGATTACGATATGCAAGATGCGTGGGATGAGCGGGGGCGAGGCGTGCAGGAAGCGGAGATGCGCCTCGAGATAATCATAGTGCGAGGTGGGGGTCACGACCGTGGACCACAGGATGGGGTAGTCGTAAGGGAAGAGGGAGAAGATAATTCCCAGGAAGAAACAGGTTGCTGGTTGAGGAGATTGGGTTAGTTTGTTACAGTCTCGTGGCCTCTTTGCCGTTAGGATCCGGGGAAGTTCGCGACGCGATCGACTTACGGCAGACAATGAGGAAAGTCGCGAACGACCCGCTTTTGAAGGCCATTGTGAAAATGAGAAAAGCAGATGGGATTATTTTGAAGAGAAAGAAGATGACCAGGGGCAAGGCTGAAGTCCGCCAGGTATCGCTAAGCGGGTGCCAAGCCCTCCGGGGCGTGAGATAAGGACGACGTTACAAATTTAAAGACTTGAGGTCAGGGAGGTCCAAGCATATTTGATAACGTTGGAAAATTGAAAACATAATAATGTGAGATTTGAGAATCGATTTTGATAAATAAGTGTATGATACAGATTTCAACGCCTTTAGCGCCTTTTCATAAATGCGAATAGTGGTATCTCCCGTAAATGCAAATGTACATAACATCATCGCTGGTATCGAGGTAACGACTCGTCTGCATGCGCCGTCCCACCGACCAGTTGATCATCCTCATCAAAGACCGGCGCACTGGGCCCGTCGTTGGGCTCCTGGGTGTTGGGCTCGTCTTGAGGTGCGCTCGCCTGCTCCTGGAGTCGGTGACGCTCAAGCTCTTGTTTATCGTCGCCTGATACACGTGGCTCGCTGGGCCCAGCGCCGTTCACGACGATGGTCTGCAAGGATTCCGCAGAGCGAACAGCGTGCGGCCCCCCACTTATATCTGGTGAAGGTACATGCTCGTAGTCTTGAAGATGATGATCATCTGACAAAACCGGCGCAGTGGGGACCTCCATTGGTACTGTAGATGGCCCTGCCTCATCTTCATCGGGCGGTTGACTAGGTAAGAGAGCTTCCTCGTGACGTCGTACCCGCGTTTTCTCGTCCACGGGCTCTTCGACTTCTGGAGGCGCAACCATAGAGTTCATTGGCTGGAAATGTTCGGTGTATTCTTCGGGATACTCTGCCCAATCTGTCTCTTCGGGGAAATATCCCTCCTGTGTCCCATATTCCCCTTGGGAATTAGGCATTGGGCTCGCCTCTGGCCACTCCTCCCCATCAACAGGGTTGAGTAGAATTGCAGATGCAGGAGGCGCCGTTTGTGACATGGTGGAGTCGCCAGCCGTAGATGATGTACGTTTCGTCGATTTCCTTCGTTGTGAATCACGCGTCCCAACCACTACTTCAAAGGCCACTGAGATCACACCTTTTTCACGGCGGATTGAGTCCGTGTCCAAGATGTTGCCGGCCCAGTTGGCAGTAACGCCACTCGAATCGGCTGGATTAAGAACCTGCCCGCTGGGCGAAAATGTAGTACCACCGGAGACCATGTTGAAACGCGGGATGAAGCGATCTGGTGAAGTGATTTTGCCTCGTAGGTCCGTTACGACCTCCACATAGTACCGAAAGTTGATCATGGCTCCCGGTACTCGCGTGATGGTTGGAAATGCGTCTTCGGGTATTCGGATGGAAGTCTTTACAATTGCAGTCATGGTATTTGGGTCAATGATCAGGGGGGCAAATGTCTGCGACAAATCTTTGCGAAAAGTGCTGCTCGTCCGACTTGTTCCCAAGGTAAGCCCTCCAAGCCCCGTCCGCGATCGCGGATAGCAGTCTTCGTATACCGGCTTTTTCCCGGCCGCCGTAGTGCCAATGGGAATTGCAGGATGAAGATCAATGCGACCTTGACGGTATAATGTTACCATAATTCCATGCGCACTGCGCACTTGTTTACTATGGTTGATTGTGACTGTGATGGGTAGGGTATCGCCGGGGAGCACGCCAGCGCGCAGAAGCTCGGCCTTTGCGGTGATGGTTTTATCTGAGATAGATGGGGTCGCACTGCGACTCTCGCTGTTGTGTCCACCCGTGCTTGCGGATGAACCGGGATCGCTGGCGATTCGAAAGCTTTGGCTGCTTTCGCTAGGCCGGCTGGATGAGCTGACATTGCTTGGCGAGGGGCTCAGCGGTGGTCTGGTATCTACGGAGGGTGCCGCACCACTGATAGGGGTATCGACCGAGGATGTGTCCGGCCCTGCAGTGGCGTCGGAATTTGTCGACTTGGCTTTCCCCCTCGATTTTGAGCGCTTTGAGATAGGTTCCAATGTAACTATACGAGCCCTGGGTGCAGGGAAAGGTGCGATGTCGATGTTTTCTAGAATGTTGACTCGTCTTCGACATGTGAGTGTAGGGTTTATGGTGGTCGGTCGGGTAAGGGTAGAGGTAAGTGAGTAGCCGATGGTTCCACGTTCAAACTGCAATTATCCATTTGGTTAGCGTATTTAGATAAAAGAGGTTGCTTCAGCAAACGCACATTGATGCTGCTGGGAAGCGCATAAGGAGGAAGCCCCATTTCAAAGCGAAACTTGTAGATGCCCTCCTTCAGGCGTCCATCGCCACAGAGAACAACTTCATCCTCAAACAATGTTGCTAGCCCATTGCCCAAGTATTCTGCGCCTCGTCGACCCCGCCCTGGTCCTAAGAATCCCAAGTCGGGGGTTGCTTCCCCTGCCGGGATCGCATTTTTGAACACCTTGACATAGCCGTGGAGACATACGACTATATGCGTTATGCGAACGGGTCGTACAACGGTCACAACGACGGTGCCTTTGATGACATCACCGGGGAAGTAGGAGCGCCATGGGTCATCGGGATCGATATAGAAGTCGGTGATGCCTCGATTTCTTTGACCGAGCGGGGAGCGAAACTTGGACAGGAGAGAGTTGCGATTCCGACTGGCCGGCAACGTAGGTTGGGTGGGAGGGTTGGCGGACATGACACACAGTCGCTGTTTACTGCATCTATACAAGACAATGTAGCAGGTGAGGGATGGGGATGATAGACTGCAACCGCTTTGGCACCGATCGGGCAAACACGCCGGTATGGTGTTTCTCTGGGGCAGCACGGAATGGCGGGGGATGGTCGGACAGACCAGTAGGCAGCCAGCCTACGTCAAGGAATCCAATCAAGCGACACAACAAGGAGATCGACTTGTCCAAGGGTCTGGCGTCCAGAACCAATGCACTGGACACGGTCTGATTCCAAACGTCCACGGAATGTATTCTGATTCACGCGCGAGAGATTTCCCCTGGTCCAAAGAAAGGAATGGGGATTATGATCGAGGGCCACTGCACCACATTGTTCCATGTGACATCGAAGCGCGAGGCAGGATTTCGACGGTACCCCCGCCAGGAACTCGCAGCGTATCGGGACGCAAGGTCAAGTCGCAAGATAAGGGAGTGGATATTGTCGGGAGAAATGACGGATTTAAAAGAGACCAATGGGTCAGTATCACCGGATACTATGCTGTAGTCGAGAGTCTAGAACGGGGATCGGGGGATCCGGGGGGGGGGGGGGGAGAGAGGGTGAGAGGCGTAACTGCAGATGGCGCGAGATCCGGAGGAATGTGGGACTCGAGAATGCACGAGCCAACGGTAAAGAGATTATAGACAAAGAGGGGGTGGAGGAGAAGGAGATGTAATAATAAGAGAGAAGAAGGAGAGTCGCGAGTTCGCGATAAGCCTCCGAGAGGCGGAGAACAAGGTCTATTCGCGTGTTGCACGGTCAAGCTTCTCTTGGTGTCCCAGGTGGCTCAGCTAGTTTTTCCCCTTTTTTCTGGGCAATGATTATCATTTGAATTGGGATAAAATGACATATTTCATGTTTCACATAATTTCCCTGCCATGTGCTAAGCAAACCTAAGCTTTTTTTTTTTTTTTACCCTTCTCTATCCTGTCCTAGTTCAGAAAGACCTCCGTCCACGTATTCGTCTCCATAACATTCGCGCAAAACGACCTCGATGATTTGTCGATCTCCACCAGCTAATTTGCGCAAATACTCCTCTAGCATGTAGATATTATCTGTCCACTGTAATGCCTGTTGTTGGAACCCGACTAACTCCTCTTGGACCTGCTTCACACCCTTGCTGAGTGAATTGAGGGAGAGTTGGGCCTCTGCAGTCCGTACCCGATCGATTGCCATTTGCAGCTCGGTCTTTTTAGTCATGAGGGATTCTCTTTCATCTTCGTCCTCCTCCACTCGACGCATGGTCTCAGCAGCCAATGTCGCTTCCGCATCGGCACAAGACTTCCGGACTTTCTCCACCTCCATAGTCACTCGGGCCAACTGACACTCTCGTTCGTGCTTTTCATCGCTGCTGAAACTCCAGTACCAGTTCCCACTACCGATCTTTTCGACTCGGAGTTGACCCTCATCAATCAAAGGTTGGATGTATTCCTTGACCTGGATGCCATTGATGGATGCAACTGAGGGTAGAGTCTTCTCTAGATCCTTGAGCGTGTGACAGGTACCAGTGGCGCGGAGATGAGTCAAAATCAAATCTTGTTTAGCGCTTTTGGTTAATTTGGGCTAGTGGTGCGTCAGTAGTCTCTTTCAATAATCCTAGACCCTGGGGATATGTCAAGCCACGTACCATCTTGTACTGTCAAATACCCTAGGTCTCTTCAAAAAAAAAGCTTAACAATCCAGCCGATCACTCATTGGGTAAGTGTGCGACGGCTAAGCATTGGTGGAGGCGCAGTGGTTGTCTAGAAGATTTACCTGTCACGCACACAAAGGTTGGAAACCCATGCTTCAGTCAAGCTCCATTAAACACTTACCTTTCCTTTCCTCTATTCCAAGGCTTTCCCTTTCTCTATAGAACTACTTTGCTTTTGAACACATTGTAAAATTATGACTGTACAAACTAACGCTCACGATAGCCTTTGGAGTTAGCACAAGACTAGATGAAACCCGACCTATTATTTGGGATCCACTCCAGTCAATTCCTGGATCCTACATGGGTTAGACATATCAAGTAAGACAAGATTCTGTTGAGAGATGAGGTCTCCCAACAAGATGTCGTCCCGATGCCAGCCATAATTAAACCGAACTTGCTGGATGCACAGCATATCCAAGATTGGATTTTGATTTGGCGAGCGCGCTCTCGACAGTCCTGCCATCCGGCTAAATATTGGCCGGTTTAATCACCGAAAGTTCTCTCCCTGAAGGTAGTACTTTGTGTATAACTCCATTGAAAACCTTTGTCGTAGCAGGAGGCGCACAAGAAGGCGCAGCAAACCATTGTCTTACAGATTAAAGTATGACTGTTGCTTCTCTGTATGCCATATAGTGGTGGCAGCAACTGGGATATGTGCCGATACCATGTGCACATACCATGTGCAGCGTGGCTGTGCACTGTAGTACATGGGTTGACCCGATTCGCTTTCAAGGGTCTGAAGCTTTGCAAGATATCGCGTAGCTTGATACAGCTGCAGGCATCAAAAGCCTCCGAGGAATTCGGCCGCGGAGGAATGGATGCAACCTAACAAAGAGATTATAACATCTCATCCAGTCATCGTCTTTCATCAACCTCGGTATCAAAATCTGTAGTAGCAGAAACAGAACGAGACAATTTGCGCCGTTTTGATCTTTGTCGGACAATGCTGTTTGCTCGCTTCCTTCGTGCTGCTCGTGCTGCTGACCTGGTTGTGGTGTCACTCTCAAGGCCTGACTTATCGTCCTCTTCCTCCGACAGCTCTTCTCCTTCAACCAGGGCTAGATCTCCAGTTTCACCCAGTTCCTCCTTGGCCATCTCTTCGATTAGGATCCCTATTGCAAGCAACGCTGTCTCATCCATGGTCTGATGGTCGTCTTTGCCGTTGTCCGCCGTAGCATATTCGTAGTAGTCGGCCGCGTAGGCATGTATTGTTTCAAGGAGCTCGGAGTTCGGGAGAGGTTGATTAGAGGGAAGATTCTCATGCGCGAAGTAGGTTTTCTCGTCGATTGATTCCGCCGGAATGTTCTGTCTGCGATAGAGAAGCTCCTCTGGACGCAAACTTCGAGCGCCTGCCGAGTTTGTGTCGCGGTATTGAGAAGCAACTTCACGGGGTGCGTTGACACCGCGAAGGTTGACACGACCTAGTTGAAATTAGATTTCTTTCTTCTTAGTATAACAAGCTAGGCAATCTTATAGAACATACCGGCTACCGCATCATAGACATTGGCGCGGCGTTTTATGTGCTTCGAAGGCTTATCGTCCAGTGGTTCTTGGTCATCTTCGAATGGCTCGACAAAACTGTCTTCGTCCGAATCGAGCGATCTAGCAACAGACATACTTCAGGTTTGCCAGGAAGACCAATCAAGGTTTGGCAAATCGAACAGGGATGTGCAGTGGATAGTAAGTAAAGGCCGAGGATCTCCAGCTGCCAGTTTCGATAAATGCGCCGGCACAACTTTAATCCGATGGAGCATAGCATCATCGAGTGCTCTCGACTTCTCTATGTAAAAGCACCAGCGCTGATGAATGAATGAATTCCTATCTCCTCAACAGAGCCCTTGGGTCTGTAGCTCCGAATGAATTTCATGTTGCTCAAACAACCCGGCTAGTTCACAACCTTGAGCCTGCTCCGGGTATACGCTTCTCCAGCCGCAGAGCAGCTGCACCAACGGACCGGTCCGAAGACGATGTGGCGCCTTTAGATCAAGAGCTAGGTGTTACGACGGAGGTGTTTGCTCACAAGTCCGGCGTGAATTGTCTGGCTGTCGATCAGTTTGAGGGCCGATAGTGCGTGTGCAGCCACTTAGCATCCGACAGTTGTCAATCTAACATGAAGGTAGTATGATATCGGGGGGTGCCGATCCATCAATTCATCTCTGGGATCTTGAATCAAGAGGCTCAGAACTCGAACACGTCCATCAATCTTGCGCGTCTGTCAGCAAATCCTCTCACGCCGATGCGCATACACATGCGATTACCTCACTCTCGATCTACCCTTTTGATCCCGTCCCATCAACGATCTTCTCGACAGCACACGATGGTACATTGAAACTTTCGGCGCTACAATCGCCCTCTATCACCCCCATACATACATTCAACCTGGACTGTACACCATATTCACACTCGTTCTCGTCCCAGCCTGGGTCAACACTGCTCGTCGCAGTGGGCACGTCTGAGCGGTCGGTCCGACTAGTAGACCTACGATCTGGACTATCGACACAAGGTCTACCGGGACACAATGGCGCAGTCTTATCGGTGGAATGGGCACCTCACCGGCCACATCTTCTAGCCTCTGCATCGGTTGACAACCGAGTAATCATATTTGACGTGCGTCGCGGAGGTCACAACTCTGCCATCGCTACACTGGATATGAACGATCCAGTGGGGCTGGTGGCCCCAGGAACTGGATCTACACCGGTCTCATACGAGAGTCGTCCAGCCTTCTCCCGGCATGCCCGTGCCCACAATGGGCCTGTCACCGGGGTACGGTGGACCTCTAATGGCAGTCACATCGTAACGACGGGACAAGATTCCCGAATTCGAGTCTGGGACTCTGCAACAGGCGCTAATACGCTTGTTCATTTCGGTCCTCGGGTTCGTAATGGCTCTTCCTCGCACCTGGCTGAACGGGCACCCTTGATCGTGCCGAGAAGATCCATGAATCCAGGGCACGAAACACTACTGTGGCCGAATTTCAATGAACAAGATGATCGTGGTGAGGTTTTCATGTTCGAGATGCGCGAGGGGACATTCGTTAAGCGTCTCCGCGTCCCAGGTCTCGCGGCAGGGTCGCAGAATATTCGTGGTCGGTCGAGTGCTTTGAGCGCTGGCCGTATCAATGACCTTGTCTGGCGAGGTAACGGTGCCTCTGGAGAGGGGATAGAGCTTTTCTCGGCGCACGGCGATGGAACGATCCGGACATGGGTGTCTCGCGAACCAGACGGCGAACCTACAGAAGAAGAGCAAGCAGCTCAAGCCGATCGCAAGAGAAAGCGAGATGTTCTTGACGAGATTTATCAAGGATTTCTCGGGCCTGACCAGCCCGGGCTACGAATCTGAAACTATTGTAGCTATGCTCTACACAGGCAATTTGAATCAATTTTTTTCGTGAATAGTATTGAATTATTTTACATCTGACAAACGCTATTCATAACATCATGCACCAGATAGCGCTAGCTCAAAGAAAACCAGCCATCATTTCGAAAAGCCGAAAGGCCACATCAATGGTCGAGGAGACCCGCTACTCTTCCTGGTAACGTTCAAACACACCCCGGTCATACTTGGAATGCTTGAGATCGCGAGTATCACCATGGGCAGCATGGTGATTAGCGCCCATATAGGCATGCTTGGACTCGATGCCGGCCGGCATAGAGTTGCCCATGCCGCTGATGACCTCGCCGCTCTGACCCACATCCCGGGTCGAGCGTGGCAAGTCAGTGGTATTGTCGGCGGCCGTCGCTGTTGAGGGCTTGACGATGCCTTCGTTGTCAAAGCCGAAGTGTTCGGCGCGCTGGTCTGGGCGTGACACCGAGGGGATGGTATTCATCTGGTCGGCATCATTGGGCATGGATATGCCTTGGGCGGCCATTTCAGAGAGAGTGCCGCCTTGGTGAGGGTCTTTCCGAACCATTTTGGAGGTGGAATTAGCTGTTGGAAGTGGTTTGATATCCAGTGAAACTTGAGATATTGAGCGCGGAATGAAGGATTTGCGTTGAGAGAGTGTGGGTTGATCCAACGAGATGAGACTACACTCGGACTCTCTTATATTCCGCTCTAGAGCCCAAGTCCTGTACTACTGGTACTGATGTCACAGCGTTGGGCGTTGGCGAGGGGTGATGGGCAATGATATCACATGGTGTTGATTGGTTGTGTTCATATTACTAGATAGAAGACCTACAACAACGAAGATGCCGCCGATTAATATGCAATACTGGAAATTATTGGAAGTTGAGAGTCGATATCCCGAAATTCAAGTGGGTTTTGCTGTCATTGAGGATTCGCAGTAGCGAAATCAAATGCCCACTTCTTATCCAGGCAACCTGACCCACCCTACTGGGGTCTAGATGTTCGGGATCAGGAACCGGAAATGAGATCTTTGTTGGGATTCAGTGCATTTATGATGCATGGGATTGTACAATGTGCGGTGTGTGGTTGGCGAGCAGAGATACGTTAACAGGTTCTTCTCGGAATTATTACATCTTGGTTGAGTTGAGAGTGGGAGAAGTCGAATTTTTAGTGCTATGAAGTGTAAAACATCGTTGGAGGAAGACAAACTGGCCATTAAAGATGGGTCAAATTGGTAAGCTACGGAAACGTGGTACGGAAAAGAATGGTTGTGAAGGGAACAAAAAGGATGAAGCCGAAACGAGCGACAAGAAACTACCGATGCACCGAACACTTGGATCTCATTACCGGGTGTCTACAAGATGAAGGCGAGGACACCCATGACAGCGGCCGCAGCGGAGATAATTCCTCCAGAGAGGCGAGCGGCGTCACCTTGAAACATGATTCCATGAGAGACAGAAGCAGAAGCAGAGGAAGAAGGAGAACCCTTCTGCTCGGCAGAGACACCACTGGGCACCATCTTACCCATGCTGTTGGATGAGGTAGCCTGGGACATAGCGCCATGCGAGACAGGGGTGGCCATGGGCACATGCACCGGGATCATGGAGTACTCGGCAGCCTGGCTCATGGGACGGTGGGAAGCATGGTTGTGAGGAGCGGGGGCTGAGGCGGCGTAGGAGTTCGCCATCGGGTCAGCCCCGGCGGAGTGCTGGGGGGAGGGGGAGAAGGCGGCGCTAGTGGCGACTGCAGGGGCCGAGCCACGGTAGGGATTCATCAAAGGGTCAGCCCCGGCGGAGTTCTGGGGAGCGTGAACAGGCATGGCACTGGCCTCCACGACGGGAGCCGACTGGTAGGCGACATGTGTCGCTTCGGCAGTCTTGTACTGGGTCCTGGTCACTGTGCGGACAACCTCATGGACCTGGGCAGCGCACTGTGGAGCCTCAACACGATCCTCAGAAGACCCGGCGGCGTCAGCCTCCGGCGCAGGAGCGTAGGCGCGGCGACTAAACGAGATGCTGCCAGCGGAGGGGCCGTTCTTGTTGTTCTTCAGCGATGTGAGATCATCGTCGAGTGTAGTGTGGGGCTCGTAGTGAGGCGCATAGCTGGGGCTATAGTGAGGCTCGTAGTGAGGCTCCGGGTGGTTCTCAAAGTGCGGCTCAGGGTGATCCTCAAAGTGAGGTTCGGGGTGAGGCTCGTAGTGCGACTCGGCGTGAGGCTCGTAGTGAGGCTCGGGGTGGTCCTCGAAGTGAGGCCCAGAGTGAGGCTTAGGGTGACCCTCGAAGTGAGGCCCGGGGGCGCCAGGGAATCCACGGCGACTGAACGAGATCTTGCCAGCGGTTGGGCCGTTGTTGTTGTTCTTCAACGATGTGAGATCCTCGTCGAGCTCATTATGAGGCTCGTAGTGCGGCGCATATGTGGGGCTATAGTGAGGCTCGTAGTGAGGCTCGGGGTGGTTGTGAACATGGGGCTCCGGGTGGTTCACATAGTGAGGCTCAGGGTGAGGCTCATAGTGTGACTCGGAGTGGGGCTCATAATGAGGCTCGGGGTGGTCCTCGAAGTGAGGCCCGGGGGCGCCAGGGAATCCACGGCGACTGAACGAGATCTTGCCAGCGGTTGGGCCGTTGTTGTTGTTCTCCAGAGCAGTTACCTCATGCTCCAGTGTGGTGTGAGGCTCATAGTGAGGCTTATAGCTAGGGCTATAGTGAGGCTCGTAATGAGGCTCGGGGTGGTTGTGAACATGGGGCTCGGGGTGGTTCACATAGTGAGGCTCGGGGTGAGGCTCATAGTGTGACTCGGAGTGGGGCTCATAATGAGGCTCGGGGTGGTCCTCGAAGTGAGGCCCAGTGTGAGGCTTGGGGTGACCCTCGAAGTGAGGCCCAGGGGCGCCAGGGAATCCACGGCGACTGAACGAGATCTTGCCAGCGGTTGGGCCGTTGTTGTTGTCCTTGACGGAAGTGAGATCATGCTCGACTGTGGTGTGGGGTTCGTAGTGAGGCGCGTAGGTAGGGCTATAGTGGGGCGCGTAGTGAGGCTCGGGGTGGTTGTGAACATGGGGCTCCGGGTGGTTCACATAGTGAGGCTCAGGGTGAGGCTCATAGTGTGACTCGGAGTGGGGCTCATAATGAGGCTCGGGGTGGTCCTCGAAGTGAGGCCCGGGGGCGCCAGGGAATCCACGACGACTGAACGAGATCTTGCCAGCGGTTGGGCCGTTGTTGTTGTCCTTGACTGAAGTGAGATCATGCTCGACTGTGGTGTGGGGTTCGTAGTGAGGCGCGTAGGTAGGGCTATAGTGGGGCGCGTAGTGAGGCTCCGGGTGGTTCTCGACATGGGGCTCCGGGTGGTTCACATAGTGAGGCTCAGGGTGAGGCTCATAGTGTGACTCAGTGTGAGGCGCGTAGTGAGGCTCGGGGTGAGACTCAAAGTGACCACCGTGCGGGGCGCCGCCGTGGGCAGGAGGGCCATGGTTCTCGGAGCGGCGGAAGTGGGTAAAGGCAGGAGCGTGAGGGTAAACATCCTCATGCTTTACGTCGACGGAGTGATCATCCTTGCTGTACTCGTTGACCTCGGTGTTGGAGGCATCATTCACAGACATATGGAAGCCTTTGTCCTCGTCATGGTCAGAGTGGTGGTGGTGACCAAAGACAGTCCCAGCTGGACCATCTCGCTTTCCAAAGGGTCCCATTCCAGGGACTTGAGGGCCGCCCGGAAAGCCGGGGTGGCCGAATGGCACAGGCACCCCCGCAGGACGAGGGTACACATCAGTGTGCTGCAGCTTGACGGAGTGGTCATCCTCGCTCCACTCGTTGACCTGGGCATTGGGCTTGATAGTAGCGGAGTTTGGGCTGATAAAGCCGCCGTCGCCATCAATGCCAGAAGCCCCACCGATGGCGGTACCACCAGCTTGCTGTTCATTTGGTTAGCTGAACGATCTGTTTACAGTGAGGACGACGACATACATTTTCCGCAAACTTGGCCTGGGCAGCAACTGCCAGCAGTGCCACAGGAATTCCGCCAATGAAGCCCTTCATGATTATGGTGCTTGGGAGATATTGCTGTAAAAAGGTGTATACTGTTGACCGTAGAAATTAAAAGAGTGACTGGAAGCGAGAGCAGGATAAAAGAATGGCTCGATTGATTGAATGCTCTCCTTTAGAGACAATGAATAGGGAACTACCTTGAGGAGATGTTCAGACCTTTAGTAGTTCCTTTGCATTGATGATCAACAGCTCAACAAGCAGGCGGGAATGCCGTCGCATCAACAGGGACTGCACCTTGACACGAGGCCAAGCCGTGCGTAATGCCATCAGAATGTCGCCAAGAATGAAAAATAACACTTAACAGGTGAGAAAATGCCCGTCGATCGTGGTCAGATCGTAAACAGATCCCATGTAATCCCTAGAAAGGTGGTGGTGTCGCATTCCGCGAGCTGAGAGGGATGGATCACCACCTAAACAGGAGCGGCATTCAGAGATCAAGTAAGCCCCTTGTGTGAGCTAGGATATTTTAACCATTTTACATGAGTCGTTCGGGAGTGATGCCATAAGTCATGTTCGACTCCTCCCAAAAAGACTGGAGTATGGATGATCTTAGGACATCCTATCCTTCATTCGAGTTGAGCTTCGAGAGGCTAACTTTGAAAACCACCGTGCGACCAGAACATGGGATTCCCAGTGATGTCAATGACTGCGATGCCGTATTTATTTTTGCATACAGGTCCGGCTGAATTGCCCACATTACAATAGGAACAGTGTAGTGACTCTTCGGCCTAGGATTTATAGGTTACGCTGAATCTGTTCAGTTATTGTTTTTTTTTTTTACAAGACCTTCACAAACATCAATGCGTTGGTCGCTACTCTCGCTTCAACTGCAAAACAGAGTTGAGGCGAAGGAATGTGTCCCGTCTTCGACATTCAAATCCCACCGCCCTCACTTAAGAGGACACAGGAAACGAACTTCCTATCGAGGACAATCTATCTCCTGAGCCGATCAGTCCCGTAAGACCGAAGTCCGTAGGACCGAAGGCAACACATCGTCGTGGGTTTGTCGTAAGACAGAACGATGGTCGTGGCAGGCTCAGTTGCTTTTTTTCGATAGAGAAAAAAAGAAAAAGAGAGAAGGGCGAAAAAGTTTGCGGTTTTTTATAGCGCTAGTGGAGTCATCGGGTCGGATTTATAATTTCCCTTTCGGCGCCAAGGTCGGTCCGACCCGGTCGGTGTTATGGCCTGCATTTTAAGGCTACAAATCACACCTCAGGCACTATTTTGAACAAAAAAATAACTTAGGATATGATACAGCGGTTTCCAATTCCATGACATGTCCAATTGAATACCCGCGGGATCCTGATCACGCCGGAATCCGACATGTTGGACAAGTGGAATAATCTTTAATTAAGAATAACAAAATGCTCACCCTCAAACTCCAGCTCTCCATGGCACCTTCAAAGGAGAAAGAAGAAACAAAAAAGGGTGACCTGGGTTAGGTCGGAGAATTCGATGATGTGAATCATAATGAATGATGATCGGGTTGCTCATCGCCCCGAATCAAAAATGGTAAAATGGTAACCGGAACCTTGCATGTCCTGTCAGCTATGAATGTAAACCAGTGAGTGCACAAGACTCGAACGACTCACTTATCCCCCAGTTGCCGTTTTTTCGGCACTGGCTTTCCAACCTGCTCCTCCTACCGCCGCAGTGATGCCCAATGCGATTGCAATCATAGTCCCCACCGTCACTACAGCCACGACTGCCTTCAGTGCCATCCGTTGTTTGTTATTCAAAGACTGCAACCATGTCAATGGTTTGTTCTCTTCCTCCCACAACTTCGATCGTCGGGGACTATCGGTTCGGCAGCTTGCGTATGGGCCCATGCTTTCCAGGTCTCTCAAATTGCTTCTCCGGTTGGCATTCTTCGTTTCGAAGGTGAGTTGTTCGTGTGAGATAGTTGGACTTGAATGAGGATAGAAAGGCGAGCATGGCTTTGCACCGATCGATGGATCAAACTCCTGGCTGTGAGCCCCAGGCGAAGACGTGATGGAACATCGTGGGGGCGCGATATTAGGCGTCGTTGGGAGTTTCTCGTCGGTTTTGATCGCCGCGGCCACCTGGGCCCCAATCACGCCAAGTCCGTGTAAACTCATCGCGATGTGCCAATATGGCTGTAAGGGACAGCCGATTCCCAGATCAAAAGATCTTGGAGAGTGACCTCTTCAGGCTTTTTCGCTTAGACTTGGATCGTTGTATGGGGCGTTGTTCTTTAAGCTTGGGTGCTGGTGTTATGATTGCCTCAACGGGAATGGCGACGGTCGAGACACCGCCGTACATAAACAATGCCGTATCAACCTGGAATGCGCTCCAAGTCCAAGCGGACCGCGGCAGTTTCATCACTCGAACTGGTCACAATAAGGAATATAATTATTGAAAATAGTGGAGGGGCGGATATGTGCCCGTCAAAATGATAGTTTGATATAAAATGGAATGAGTGGTGGTTTCCTCTTAAAGCGCACCTGGATGATTTGGGGGCTTTACGGCAACAGCAATCAAAGTTTTCTGAAAAGGGTCCTAGGTACATTCGGCAACACCTTGTAGTGAAATGAACTATTCCTCTAGTGATGCAAGGCCTCTATTGGCTTGAAGGCAGTTTTTTACCCCTAGATTGGTATCTCGTGCGCCTTCGGACATTCCCACACCCTTTATAGTGTAAATTACCTTCTCCTGCAGCAAAAGTAACCCTAGAACCCTAATATTGGCAAATCATTGCTTAGATAGCATTCTTATCGGTTGATCATACAACCCCCTGCTCCAAATCCTCTTTCCATAGGCTCTGTTTGTAACCCCTGTTGGCCACTTCAGTATGTGGATTCCACCCTAGCATATGAGAGCATCTTATTATGTGGTGTCTCTCGGTGGGACAGATTATAGGGCGTCAGGGGCATATTTGAAATTGGGTTCCTCGTTCTATTTCAACATAGTTCACAGATCATAGGTCATATGTGTGTCGGTCACATCTTGAATATGCATACAAAGCTGCATGACATTGTACAATTCACGCCGGCAAAGCTTGCCCCAGTAGAGTTATGTAGCATCAATCACAGCCACGGGCAGCCTTAATCTATATTTGAAAATAATAGGTAAAACTAAGCGTTGTCGTATTGTTGATGTCGATCCGTCATACAAACTAGACAGACTACTTCGAGTGACTAGATCCTCTACCGGGAAGCTGAAAAATTTCCCATCTTCCGCTACAATTAATTCTCTTATTGAACAAAGTAGTGTTTGTTCTTTAGCATATAGAAGTAATATTGAAATCATTTGCCCATGTGCTTTTTAATGATAAACATGTTGAGCTGTCACAGAAATATCTTAACAATAAAAGATTGTTCATTATATATATCTCTCAATCACATGGTTCACATGACAAATGTTGAACAAAATATAGGAACAAAACACATGCGAGTCCAAATCGAATACGTCTCAAGATCATATGAAACTTGAAAGAGATATATATCACGTAAAGATATATTTATTCATCAGTTCACCTGCAGCGTTCATCCACTTGCCGAACCTCGAAGCGTTTTATCCAAAAAGATGTAATATTTTGATGACCTGCATCACGTTAACAAATAACAGAAATTTAGCCAGATAGAGATTTCATTTCTATAATTCACTCAACTAAGCTTTTTATGGGCCTTTATTTTGGCAATAAAATCCAACTACTATGGGGATTCATCTATCAGGAGTAATACTACCGGTAGCCAAGCATATCTCATGATCAGCTCGACCAGCGTCTATAGCGACCTCGGGATGCAACTTAATTTTAATATAATTAACTACTAAGCCAGTGATTTTTACTACTCATGAAATGGTCTACATTGTTAATGCTTAGTGTAACAAGTCTCCAGAACTAGGCCCTCTCCAACCTGGGAATCATCGCGATACAATAATTAATCTACTGTTGCAGTTTCCCAAATCGCCTTGGAAAAAAACGTGGAATGGATCAACACACTATAAGCCAATTAGCCCAGTCTATATGCCAATAGTAACAAAGCTTCACTCCAAATTCACAGCACCACGAGATGCAGTGATCGTCCAGCCAGAATGGTTGAACACATGATGAATATAAAATGCAAAATATAAGCTATATCAATAAAATAAGAGCGGTTATGATAAAAGGGGCAATATTGAAGTCTTTTGGAAGAAAATAATTCACACCGAAAAAATCCTTACCCCTGGATCCATGCCGAACAAACAAGACTACTACAACATAGGGGGCCGAATACGAACTGTAATATTTAAATGTGCCCCTTTATAAAAAATATGGTAGTGAATAGGCGCAGCATTGATATGGATTATATTATGTTGCTCCGTACGGAGTACAATCTCTAAGTATGTTGAGGCTGGTGTCTTGGACCAATAGGACCCTTCTTCCCTCGCTCTCCTGCTATGAATACCCCTCAATTTCCTTCACGTCAGGCCTATCATCTTGCCAAAGTTTTCGTTACTTGTGCCTTAATTGCGTAATCAGGCTTTTCGCCGTTCTAAACAATAAAAACATCAAGTGCAGTGGAGCTCGCCTCCTTCATGGGTATGGCAATTCTATTCAAATCAGTTTCGGGTCACCACAGTGCAACACAAAAAGCGACTTACCGGAGGCACGTCGGAAGCCGTCGAAGGCGCATCGGTATTTGTTGCAGTAGGAGTTGGTTGACTGGTCACAGCCTCAGATGTTGTTTGCTCAACGTGGGGTTCATCATGCTTATGTTGGACACCTGGACAACCAATCCCCGGCACAGCAATGTCGTAAGCATATACCTCCAGTGCAAAGTACTGCAGAGTCTCCGAATCATGCGTTGACAGCGTCGCATTTTTCTTCGCCTGGTCAATGACCTCTTCATATCCGTCTGCAAAATGATCTATCCAGTTCTGTCCGATGGCAGGAACATGATATAGGCGGTGCAACAGATCAGCGGCCCAGAAGGTATTGGTCTCGGATTCTGAGATTGTATATCCAAGGCCACACATGGTTGAGAGAGAGCGACGAGTTTGGTAGCTCAGGTCGCAGATAACTGTCTCATCCGTGCCATTTTCGCCTCGCCAATGTCCGGCATAACCTATTTGGTTGAGATGTTTAGTATAACTATCATCCCTCATATAGAGCAAGGTGTATTACTTTTAATATCACAATTTCCGTCCGGGTTATCACATCGAAACAAAACGTCTTTCTTATTGCCGTTGACCACGATATCAAATGCACCGATGGCTTCCATGGATGGGCGGTCACCGAAATACTTCCTATAGATCTCACTCTCATTTCTCCATCTCAAGATATGGTTTTGAGCATGCTCGGCAAGAGCAATGGTTTCGTTAAGACCTAGCTCAATCTGGCGACGCTGGGTTGCATTGCAGCTTGAATGGATGGGAAATTGATTCACAGCGCCGGCGTTCCAAGGTGCAAGCCCGGTCCGAGAGGATGGCAGGGATTGATTGCCTCCAGAGCTTTCGGGGGTAGGAAGAGCAGCAGCAATTGCTGCAGAGGAGAGAATGAGCTTGAACAAAAGCATGTTTGTATAATCGAGGCAAATTGCTGGAGAACTATGGAAGAAAATTCTTAAACACGGTAGGGGCAGCTTTTATATCAGTTTTACTAGGTTTTTGACACTTCCATATACGATGTTTTTAGTTTTTCTCAACTGTTTGCCAAGTGTGGCTTTCGTTCTCATTGCGTTGTGTCGGTAGTCAACGCAACACCTAGTATAGGATAGGAAGCGGGATGTCTTCTCCATATTTCCCGGTACACGGATGGTGCAATCTGCCAAGAGGGGACCTTGAGAGCTTCTTTGCTTCTCTCGTCAAAAGTCTCTTTTTCTCCAGCAATCAGAACAGAAAATCCTAGATTGGTGCCAAGACAAAGGCTCGGCGGGAGGGTCGCCAAGACACGTTGGCGGGAGTACCTTGAGAGAGCAAGAACTGAATGGGCGATATTCTCCGGAGGAAACCCGGATTTGAAGTTTAGACCTGCTCTTGGCGAAAATATGGAAAGATGTTTCGCTTGGCATTGAGAACCTTGGGGGTGAGAGCCGTATGGTGGCTCTTACTTAATATACCAGGCATTTTAGATATGATTGCACCCAGTATTCCATTAAAATTTTCTGACTTGTGCCATATTCATTCCATCAATCCCAATATCATCTATTTGCGGAAGAGTAGAGCACCAGTTTCATCATGCTCGTTTCCAGACCTTTCCTTATATCACTGGGCATTTCCAGGGTATATGCGGCCACAGCAACAACATCAGCACAAACATCATCTATAACTGGCTGTCATAGCCATGGCTCAAGCATTTACTGTATTGATGGAGATGGCCACGAAGTTTTAGTTTCGGCCACATCTACCCCTACAACCGGGATTCCAGCACAATACACTGGGTGTCACTCCCACGGAAGCGAGTCGTAAGTACACACGCATGCGTCTCTATGACAATACACTAACCTACAAAATGCGAAGATATTGCATGGATGGAGATGGAAACGATGTCCTGATTCAAGAAGAAGAAACGGAAGCCGAGGGGACCGAAGACAGTCACAGTAAAGATGATACCCACGACCACGAAGAATCCTCAAGCGAAGCCAAGCAAAGCTGTCACTTCCATGCTGGTGTCGAGTAAGCTTATCACAATTTTTCCAAATTTGAGCGTTATTGACTTTGGCTATCCTAGACACTGCGTGGGTGAAGGTGAATCAGAGGAACATAGTGCTTCATCGTGTGATATCAAAGCTAGAGACTACAACGTGCCTCTAAGAGTTGGTACACTGTTCGTTGTCCTTGTCACTAGTGCAATTGGTGTCTTTGCCCCTATTCTCTTGATGAAACTTCCATTTGCCTCGATCAATGGGGTGGTCTCGACCGTCATCAAACAATTTGGAACTGGCATTATCCTCGCCACGGCTTTCATCCATGTAAGTAAGCTCGACCTTGACAGACGTACCATTTGCTGATTGCTTTCCTTAGCTATACACACATGCCACCCTCATGTTTACCAATGAATGTTTAGGAGAGCTCGAGTACGAAGCAACTACCTCTGCGGTAGTCATGGCGGGTATATTCATTGCTTTCTTGTTGGAATACATTGGTCACAGGGTTATTGTTGCTCGCAACAGCAAGAAGACCTCCGCAGCAACCACCCCATCCGAATCTCAGCAAACACATCAGAAGGAAGAGGATGACCACTCGCATGACCACTCTCAGAACCAACAGCAGCAGCCTACGTTGGTTTGTCTGGGGCACAATCACGGCTCATTCGATCTTACCGGGCCCAACAGCAAATTTTCGGTAATTGTCATGGAAGCGGGTATACTTTTCCATAGTATCTTGATTGGTCTCACCCTCGTCGTTGCTGGGGACTCATTTTACAAGACGCTTCTGGTGGTGATTGTGTTTCATCAATTCTTTGAAGGGTTGGCACTCGGTGCTCGCATTGCAATCCTCCCCGGACCTATATTCCCTTCTAAGGCGTGTATGGCGATGGCATTTGCCTTGATCACACCTATTGGCATGGCCATTGGACTTGGTGTTTTGCACACCTTCAATGGTAACTCAAGGGGCACTTTAATTGCACTAGGAACATTGGACGCGTTGTCTGCTGGTATTCTGGTGTGGGTTGGTGTCGTTGATATGTGGGCGCGTGACTGGGTCATTGATGGAGGTGAAATGTTGCATGCGAAGTTGTCAAAAGTTTTGACTGGTGGTATTTCTTTGGTCAGTGGGGTGGTGTTGATGGGACTGCTAGGAAAATGGGCTTGATCATAGGGGTGACATGGCTGCCTGAGGCCTGTTTCCTTCTAATGTTATCTTCCATATGTACATAGTTAGACTATTCCTGAAAATCGATGCCTCGAACATTATAAGCGGCTCACCTAGGCCGAATTTCACTCTCCGTATTCCGTATTCAACCTGAATGTTTACCAGTGCCCACACTCTCGTCTATGGCGCTATATGCTCATAATAGTTAAATTTATGGAAATACAAAAACAAACGTATAGCGGACGAGTTGAATTGTGTTGAATTAGAAAAAGATCATTGAGGTCAGAAGACGGGAACAAAGCACACATCAGTGCCTCTGTGGCTCTCACCTTCTGGGACGCAGACGGCTAATCAAAAGACAAAGGAGTGATCATGTTTCGCTGCGACATACCCCAACCTAAAGCCAAGAAAATACAGAGATAGAGATTGGAAAGGAAATTAACTCTAAATAGTCCAAGCTCACTTGCTAGAGACTTGGGGAAAAAAGCGATATTCGATCATCTCACGCACGCTGCTAAAGCAATCAAACATGACAGCTACTAAAATGCTTCCAAGGTTGTGATTCAAATACTAATAATTAGTGATAGTCTGTCACTCAATCTCCCTCCCTGTGTATCTGTGTTAATGAACGGTATCGGCTGTTGCAATTTCAGCCTTATTCTTTGGACTTGGGGTTTCGAATCATGCAATATAACTGGGATAGCGCGTGTCAGTGATTTAATGAGGTAAATCTCCAGCCAACAGGGCATACCTTGCAGACGTCCCCTCCATCCACGCACTCAATCTCCTTGACCAATTCAAAGCCCATTTTCTCATAAATACCCACGTTTGGATACCCCTTGGAGCTCTCAAGGTAGCACGGCATATTCTCCCGATCAGCCTTCTCCATGACATTCTCCATGAGCTTCTTGCCCACTCCCATACCACGCGCCTCTGAATCAACGCAGACAACATTGCAAAAATAGTACCCACGGGGATCCTGCCAGATGGCATCATGCGCAGTTTGCTGCACTTGTTTCCAAATCCAATAGCGGTGGACATTTAGACCACCACGACCGAGGAAGCGGATATTGTTCATGAGCTGGCGGAAGGAAAGGAGCCAGTCTTGCGCCCAAGCAGACCAGGTCTGTGATTTGGAGGGCCCTTGTGGCGAGTACCACCAGGCAACGCCGACCACAGTACCGGCTGGTAGGCGTATTTCGCCTTCGCTCTTGGTTTCATTTGCGGCGCGAGTTATCTTGGCGACAGAGATGGGACAGTCGCAATTGATACCATATCGGAAATGAGCAGCGAGGGAGGCTGCGTTTCGTTGGATGTTAAACTGTTAGATCCCGTTATTACTTGATTCGATATCCACTTCTTTGTGCTCCACTCTTTTTTTTTTTGCGCCTCTGTCTTAAAGCCACGATGAAGTCATCGGAGCCAAGGTTTGTGGAAAAATGTATTTCATACCTTGGATGGGTCATCAAACGCCCAACGAAAATATGGATCGTCGGCAAACGCTTTCTGCACACAGTCTACAGCCCCGGGTATGTCGGTCTGAGCCAGCGGGACGATTTCGATTGACATTTTCGTCTTGGCTTGTCACTACGTTTTTCTTGGACAGCGACAATCTTCTTAGCGAACTGGTTTAGACGTCCGGATACTTTTTCTACTAGCTCTGCGTATAGCCTGACACAGAGATATAGTATAAGAATGCCAATGAAGCCGTTGGGGACAATGAGAGATAAAGACAACCGCCATCTAAGTAGAGTTGAAGTGGTGATGGTCCACAAGTTGATGGAGGAGAAGGTGAGGGAAGCGAGGTCTTTGTTTATTGTAAGGGTGTCAGCAATCGAGGAAATAATGAGTAGAAAGTCCCTTGCCCTGAGGAATGGGGTTCATATAGCTCAATGATGATCCTCGGGGCCACTTGATTGCCACGCTTATCTTATCCACGGCCTACATTCCAAGGTTGCATGTCGCTAGCCTTTCTAGGCAGCTCCAGCCGGAACAAGTACATATGCGCTATGGTGTCGCACAGCGTCCCTCCACTTATACCATCGCTTCATCGTGGTCCCGGCAGTAGTGTCCATTAGACGTGTTACAGACCGACTATTTAAGCATGTACATAGTACTTCGTGTGCTCGAATACCTCTGATTCAACACGTCGATCTCTGGTTTGCCTAAACGCGGGGGACGGCTCGTATTGGATCATGTGGAGAAGCCAATCTAAAGCTAATCCCAATCAGGCAGGTAGTTGCGTCATTGGTTCAAGTGACCTCGGGACTGTGGGGCGTTCCAGGGTTATCAGATTTATCAGAACTGATAAGAGATTGTCATAATTAGAGTCAACTATACATCTAGTTGATCTTTTTAAAGCCTCATAGGGTGTAGCTTATTTGATTACTTACTCATGGATTCCTCGGTAAATACTTATATGTCAGCAGCGGAGAATTGTTCCGGCTGAGCCTTATCATGAACTCGGTAAAACCATGAGAGGTCAGAGCAAATGTGCATCTATTAGACGGGAAATACGTTTCGAAAATTGTGCTCGTATCTCATGCAACTCAGATTTTAGGTATCTTGTTTAGCTAGAGAGTGCCGATGGGATACATTGAGAAACTCATATAAAACATGTCCAAATCATAGTTAAAAATTACTATGGACTTATCGGACAAGTAACATCTATAGATTATTCGGAATTATACGATGAAAATATCAAGCAAAGCATTCAAACACATATAGATTTTGCTGCCTGTCTGGCCGTTAATCCTTTGTTTGGTGATACATGGTCACCTGCCACCTGCATTCTTTTCTTATCTGGTTCAACTACCCCATGCTCTGCCCTTTGTATTATTCTCTTTGTTTATCGAGTCCATTTATTTGGCCGATATATCTGAACATGATGAAAGTTTCAAAATTAGTTCTTCCAGCAAGTTGTCTACATAGAGGTTATGGCATTGTTACAACGTGAGCTGTGCCCAGTCTCGTATTTCGACTCCAATATAACTGGGAAAAGTTCTATCGGGTTCTTTTCTAAACTCAAAGCAGCAGGTTATTAGCCTCTATCACAGACCTCATTATCTATTTTGCTAAGATATAAATAGTGTCTTTGTGGGTAAGGTGAAGGCGAAGGCTTTCTTTCTTGGCAAAAATAACCCGGAGTCTTCCAAGGTTCAAGGTTTCTTTTCTTCCTTGAGAGAACAAAAATAAAATCTTTGTTGTAATTGCTGTCTTTGTCAAATATATCAACCAGGGAATTGAATCAGTACCAACTGTACTCTGTACAACTGCATAAATATCACCCACTACCTTCCCAAGTTCTCAATCAGACATAGCCTGCAAGCAATCCCCGAGAACGCATCTGATTCTACATCGTCGGATAATTCAGTGATTTGCTTACACCTTGCTTGTCCAGAAATCGTCAGTAAATTTCACCTCCAAAGCACACTCCAATCACATATCGCATCGGGTCTTGCAACCTTTGGAAGCGTCTCTGTCACCAGCCAGATATTCGTCTACGATGCCTCGCCATGATATTGAACGTATACTAGCCGATGACCCCTACAATGAGCGGCGCATCTTCGTTTTGTCATGTGTACACGATGCAATCTACTATCTTCGTCACGGACCGCATCGTCGTAATGATGTCATTGCCACATTAGAGGAAATTTCTGGCGAAATGGGTGTTGCTATTTCAAGCGCGGTTTTGGAACGTGATCCCCAGTTTGAGCGGTTGTGCCGTAACCTTGAGCTTATGCTGCCTGTTCTGATCAGGACTCTCAACAAGCACAACGACCGGGGGACCGACAAAGACATTGCTGATGATCTCATCACCTGCATCCCCGGCGTTTTGCAACAGCCTAAAGAATGGAACCCGGAGGTCGAAGAGATTTCTGACGAGGAAGAGTTTGAGCAAGAGCAGCGAAACCAAAATAGATGCCCTCACCATCACAGATAGATTTGACCATCTGCGTAAGGAGGCTGGAATCGAGTACGGGCTATAGTCGTGACAGGAGTTTTGAAGAATTTTGGGTTCTAGTGTTTTTGCTGCCGCTTCTATATTCCAATTTGTGTTTTTGTTTCAGAGACATTAAACCAATGAGAGACGAATTATGTCACATGTATTTCATTTCCTTATATCCGATCCTGCCCCGTTGACTAGATAGATCCGAGGGAGTAGATCGTGAGTTATTACAAGCAACATTGGAAATATCGTAAGCTTCATAAAGCGACAACAGACTTTTCTAGCAGATTCCCTAAAGGCTAAAGCTTGCCTGGGGGCACTTGTGTTAATGGTAGAAGAAATAAATCCCATGCCATAAGCACAAGCTATCAATTCGATAACTAAACATCAGCAACATCATATTACCACCAAATACATTAAACTCCTCTTAAACTATCAGAAAAACTATCAAAAACCGACAATAGCCAAACTGATCTAACATCTATCGAGAAACAACCAATATCTCAGTCTACTCTTCCCCAATCCAACCAAACAATCTAAACACGATTGCGTCCACGATGAAAGCGCGGCAGGAAAGCAGGCGCAGGTTCGGTGGCAGTCTCAGTCACAATTCGGGTGAGATTAACTGCACTGGTCGTGGCATTCGAGATAACAGTCGAGTTGGTGAAGTGGGCTGTCGCTGTCGTGTTGCTAAATAACTGTCGGCGAACAACATCGGGGTTGATAATTGCTCGTGGAGTGACACGCGAACCCGGCGTTGAGGGGGATACACGTGGAGGTGTTGACGTAGGCAAAGTCACGAGGGTAGCTGGTGTTGTGGGCAATCCTGTGGTGATGGTACGCTGCCTAGTGCTGCTCGGTATGAGGGGCGTCGAGCTTCGTGTCTGAGTCAGGGTGTTGGTTTGGGTTCTGGTGGATGAGGCTGTCACGCTGCTGCCACTTGAGGACACTACGCCAGTGCCAGAGGCGGTCCCTGGGGCTGTCGTAGCGCCACTTGGGGAAACTCCACCTCCTCCGGCACCTCCTCCAGCACCTCCTCCAGCACCTCCTCCAGCAGCTCCTCCACCTGCGCCTCCGCCACCTCCAGTGGGGCAAGGACAGCACTCTGATGTCGGGCCCAGTCCCGCACCAGATGTGACAGTGACGGTGGTAGTGGCAGTGCTCACGACGACGGCAGGACAAGTAACCGTCACCGGGATGACGGTGGTCTCCTTAGATGTGGAAGGAGGAGGGCAAACTGGTGGTCCTCCAGTGGTAACGCTGGGGGATGGGGAAGGAGGTACACTACTGCCGCCAGGGGGAGATGTGGGGCTAGTGATTGTATGCTCACTAGTGGAGGGAGGAGGCTGGGCAGTGTTAGTAGTTGTAGTGACTACTTCAGGGGGCGATGGTTGTGGGGTTCCACTAGGAGAGGGTGGCTGAGTGGTTCCGCTGGGGAAGGAAGCGGGGCCGCTGGGCGATGGCCCGCTTGGGGGAGGACTAACATTGCCACCAGTTGGAGCAGGTCCGGTTGTTGTGCTAGCAGTGCCACCAGTTGGGGTAGCAGTCGTACCGCCACCAGTGGGTGAAGTGCCGCCTTAAGTACCAGGGAGAGTAAGAAGAGTGCTTTCAGAAAATAAGGTAGTAGTTTGCTCACCTCCACCGCCAGGAACAGTACCACCGCCACCGCCAGGAACTGTACCACCTCCGCCGCCAGGGACTGTAGTACCACCGCCACCGCCAGGGACTGTACCGCCACCTCCGCCGGGAACAGTACCACCTCCTCCACCAGGGACTGTACCACCACCTCCTGGCCCCGGGGTGGTCTGAGGCGGCGGAGCATGTGTCGTAGCCAACTCCTCGGTCAATACAGAAAGCAGCGAGCTCTCAAGGTCAGGATGGTTGTGGCGCTCCTGCAAGGCAAAGTCGCGCTCTTCTCGACGACGATCCTCGAGGCCAGGCTGCTCTATCGCCACATCCGGGACAGCCAGGACATTCTGCAAGAGTGTCCAGGAGCAAGCCAGCAGAATCAAGCATCTTTTGGGAAACATGATTCGGACCTACGAAAGTATATGCAGGGCGATTGAGCAAATGTGGCCGATTTGGAAAGAGCAGGGGCCAATGCAAGTTCGCCGGCGGTTCCGGGTGTTGTCGAATTGATGAAGGAGCTGATTTAGAAGACAGTTCTAGATTCAGGACTCCTTAGATAGCAAGTTTAGCAAGTTTAGCAACGAAGCAAATGCCCACCAGACAGGTTCGAGACGATAGCAAGAAAAGCAATGTCCCAGATGAAAAGGACGTTAGGAGAGGGATATGGGCATAGCGTCATATATGTAGTGAGAGCCTAGACAACTCAATGGTGATGGATTGATGAACACTCGATGTCATCACAGCGAGAAGATTGACCAGGGGTGATGTCGATGTTTGTTTTTTGGTTAAGCTTTCGTTGTCTTTATAGTTTCCGTGGTAAGTGCTGAGGCTGCTCCTATTGGAAATCATTCCCAGTGATGAAATCCATGGCTGGATAAGGTACACAGACATCATTGTGACTAGATGTTTACATAGATCCGGTGCCTGTCGGATATCTTATGCGATGTGTTCTGCCCTGCTCAGCCCTGCAGGGGGGAACCTGAACCTGAGTTTCCAACATGCGTTTTATATTGCCTCCATGGCGGCAAATTGTTCTATTTACAACTGCCAGTTCGACTTCGAGATCTATTTGTATGGCTGAAGGGCCGAACCGACCATGTCGGAAACGTTATCCGATTTGGTGTAGAATTCCAATCACAAATTGATAAATATAGACATTAGTAGCAGCTATGTAAACAAATCACTCAGTCATGGACGCCGAATAGAAAATGCAAGAATGCAAGCTGAGCGGGAAAGGTTTCTTTCTATCTAAGCTCATTTTCAAATCGTGAAATCGTGTCGAGATTACCAGATCAACCAGCGTCGGAGTCCCGGATACGACCCCACAAATTTAATAGATCGCGAGAGGGTGACGCCAGCCAACTTGAATGACCTTTACGGCGGTACAGCATGCAAGACCAGCCGCATAGCAGCAGATAGTGAAGGTTATAAGGCCCCAGTAGGATCCATTGCAGCGTGCCAGGATCTCACCTGCGATAGGGATTCCGGTGAGAGTGCTGGTGGCAAAAGTATGTCAGCTATGGATACGCAAATGACATCACACGGGGAAAAAACACTTACCCGAAGCTCACAATGGTATAGGCAGTTGCGTAATACCGGCCGTAGTTTTCAGTTTTGCAGAGTTGACCGACACAGACTGGCGTCAAGCTGATATTGCTGCCGCTTGAGAATCCAAAAAGAACAGCATAAACTATAAGCAGGGGCAGACTATCTCCAGCAGGAAGCCACAAGCAGGCGTTACAGAGCACGCATAGTGCTACCGTCGCGATCAAGGTGTTGAAACGACCAAGGAAATCGGCAAAGAAGCCGGGCAACCATCGCCCAAAGAATGAGCCGGCATTCAAGATGGCAATGATTTGGTACGAGAACTTGGTAGAGACCCCATGGTCGAGGGCGTAGGATGATATGTAGCTAATTGGCACGAAAAGACCCCACTCAATAAAGAAGACGCTGGCGGTGGTGAGCACGAATCGCGGGTCTCGGAAGATCCGGAAGTCAGGAAGCACGTTCTCCTTGGAGAATGGCTTCTGCGGGAGTCGGGACCTAATCAAGATATTTGCAATTGATAGCGTAATTAGGCAGATCAACGCGACAACCCGAGTGGCCCAGGCCCAGCCAATCTTGGGGAAGAGGGCTTCTAGAACGAGAGGGAAAACAATGCCTCCGGCAGAGCCACCAGTGGCAGCAATGCCCGTTGCGAGTCCACGTTTCTCATAGAAATAGTGGCCGATCGCCGAGATTGCCGGTGTGAAAATGAGGGATGCTCCCACTCCACCCAGTACACCGATGACCAGCATAAAGTGCCAGTATTGAGTGCAGAAGCCGAGCAGGATGATCATGGCCATTTCAATTACGGAACCCGCAAAGACGAGCAGGCGTGGGCCTCGAGCGTCGAAGATGGGGCCGATTTGCACTCCACAAAAGAAAGTGAGGAAGGCAAACATTCCAAAAATCCACCCATTGGTTCCTGAGCTGTATTCCTTCAATTGGTGGGTTTGGATATATGCTTGGAAAGTGCCAATGGTGTTGACCAGGCCCAGTGATCCAAAAAGACCGAGGAAGCTGCCCAGCACTACCAGCCAGGCTTCGAGGCCTCCCTCTGGATATATGTTCCCTTCGGCGTCTGTAGTCACTCGACTAGCGGGGTCTCTTCTGGTTGATCTTTGAGACGGTGCCACAGTAGATGCTGTTCGGTATACATCTTCTGAGCTGGGGTCTTGCTCTGGTGCAGCCTTCGAGTCAAATTTCTCATTGTCCATTTGAACAGTAGTCTTCTCGTCAAAGGCTGTGGTACTTTGGGCTGTGGTGCTCTGGGTGTTCATATCAAATGCATGTTCGGTCTTGCCGCCGGCAGACCCGACATTGGTAGACATTCTATGTGAAAAGAGCTGTTATATTCTCCACTTGCATAAAGGAATTCCTAGATTTCTGAAGTTGATGAAGGAAGAGGTGTGGAGGAGAGTTACATATTAGCAATCAAAACTTCCAAAGGAGTCATATGCAAAAGTAGCCCTGAGAATTTTCGGGCGGAATTATTCCCATTGGTGTTTAAGTGACTTCGTAATAGTTAATTAGGCAGTGAAAATTTCGCTGCCCGTGATCATTGGGCAGGGAAGTGGATCTATCGTGTCCAGGTCCAGACCCGAACACCTTAGGGATTGTTTGTCATGTATACTGCAACGTAGTATGTACTGTTCTAGACTATAGGGAATTTCAAAGCTATCTTAGTTCTCAATTGAGTAGCAAAACATGATTGATATCACTAATAGTTAGTTCCCTTTAGCCCTCAATCATGTAAAATGACAATCTGTACTTGCCATATTCATCTACATTTATCGGTTTACAGGATAGCAACGTGGCCAAATTCCGAACTTCCGAACTTCCGAACTTCCGAACTTCCGAACTCCGTGAGACAACTTGACTACCCGAAGCGCATGTCTGAGCGCGTATACTATCTACATCCGGGCATAGCATTCACCATTCATATGTAGATATGGATCGGCTTATATTTAAATATACAAGACTACAGAGTATACTTCCCGGCAATAAAGAGGGTTGAATTAATGTACGGACAATATCAAAAGCGAAATCACGATGCGGGTAGATATACCAGGTTTCAACAATGTAATTCAAGTGCTTTGGGTTCAGGCCGACCAAAGCGGCAAGCATCAAGTTTCCTAATATGCGTAAATCCGGTGCCGCTATAATGCCCTGCGGAACGTCCAATGTGGCGCCGGTCGGGGCCCCGGGGCCGATAGTCTGATCGACAGGCATTCACAGCCTATAGGGAGCAAGCTAAACTTCAAGTTAATAAGGAATCTTTACAGCGCTTGCTAATGTTAGAAGGGGGGTAGTTTACTGGGTTGAAACCGAGTCGGCGAATATTAGCTTTTAGGATATAACATAGATAGAAGATGTAAATTTATCAAACCCCTAAAAAAATATAACTAGACTAGATTTTTGACCAAGGTCAGAAATTACTATTATATACTACTATAAATAGAGTAGTATTTAACCTTCTATCTATGATTTCTGAATAATTTCTGACCGAGGTCAGAAATTATACCTAGCTAGTGATATTTAATAATCTTAAGTACTCGGTATTATACAAAAAATACAGAGGAATATATAATAATAATATATACCCCTTGAGGTCATAAGTCTAGGTATATTTGTATTATTTGATATCTATTAGATATCCGTAAATACCTAGTAGATATTAGGTTTATATCCAAACCCTTAAAGCTGCGGATATGGATTGCGGATCGTGCTGTAGCCTACTCCTAGCTAGAGGCGAAACAACCGCCACATTAATGACGCCAGCCTTTCGTTGAGGGGACAACGGTCAAGATTGCTGGGTGAACGGCTGCATTAAGATGGGACTAGCGTGGTACATTTTATTAAGGTGAGCTGCTGACTTGGCTGCTCTCCAGGTCTGCTCAGGTGACGCTCAGTGAGCGAGTTCATCCTGATTATGTAATGACCAGGCGATGCTCAGTGAGCAAGTTTAATGATTATGGAATACACAGGGGCATGCTCAGTTTTACTCAATGAGCAAAAAGCGGCTAGGGGTGAGCACTAAAGTGGAAAGGGAAAGCCATGTCGCGCGGCCTAAAATCCGGTGTATATGTAATTGCGATATATATATATATATATATATATATTTTGATCAAGTCTCATCGGCTACTAAATTTACTCCATATAGCCTCTAGGGATTGCAAGGTTAGAAGCTTGGAGGAGCACAAAAGATCTAATACTAAAATGTAACCATGTAAGTCATACTCCGTAGGTGTACCGGATTGTACACCTGGGGGCGGAGTATGTCAAGTACATATCCAGTGTAAGAATTTTTGTGTAGGTTTACAGAGCATTAAATGGATGCCTCTTCCATCAAATTGGGCTTGTGGTTTAGTGGTATAATACTCCCTTAGCATGGGAGTGGTCCAGGGTTCGATTCCCTGCAAGTCCATTTTTTTTGGTAATTTGTTTTATAGACCAGATCAAATAAAAATACATTAGAAGTCTATTTTTCTTTCCATCTTTCAATCAATTGCAACATATCGAGTATATTAAACACATCGACTCATAATCATCGGCGAAATGGGTGCCTGTTCAGAACAAATCCATTTGATCAGCCATATATTTTCAAGCTAGTGACTGCGAAGCGACTTGGAAAGCTTGGTATGCTTGAGATCAATACTTTAGAGCCGCGGATACCTAGGCTCAGGTATTCCGCACGGCGATTGCTTTTACACTATTGTGATCATCTCGATGGCATTATTCCCCTGCATGTCGAATATAGCGACGGAAGGAGATAGTCAGGGGTATGATGTCCGTACGTGAGGGTCTGACCGGAGAGCTGAGCAGTAGGAGCATATCATATGAGGTATTAAGAGGATTA